CTCACTCACTCACTCACTCACTCACTCACTCACTCACTCACTCACTCTTGTGTCAATGTCCAGCCATCACTGTGCGAGAGGCGGGGGACACCCTGGACAGGTCTCCAGTCCGTCACTGGGACACATAAGAGACAAATGAGACAAACTCATTTATAAAATCTTCAAACAGAAAAATGTTTACATACATTTCACTATGACTGTAGAAACTGTACGAAGTCTTTTTGTAATGGAATTTAGAAACGTGTGTGGAAAATACTTCACCACTTACAGAATGCATTGCCAATCTACTTTTCAAGAAGCAAAGACAATAAAAATCCATATCTGACACTTTGATGACTAATGTCTGCGTTACTTTTAAGGATCTGTGATTGTGAGGACCTGGAGATGCCTGAGAGTGAAGTCGTAAAGCTTGTAGCTAACATCGAAAAGGAAATGTTCGACATATTTCGCAACACGGACAGCAAATACATGAACAAGTACAGAACAATAATGTTCAACCTGAAAGACCCCAAAAATAAGGTTTGCTCAAAATTAAAACAAATATTTTTCTCATGTAATTTCCCTTTAGGATGAATAAAATTACTTAAGATTATAACTATAGAGTTTTTTTTCTCGCTGTATATTAGAATGTGATAGAATTCTGTAGATCTTGTGTAAAAACAACTTGTGCTTATGGTCGTTTTTCATTATAAATCAAATGAATGCTCCACTTCCTAATTTTCTTTAGGGCTTATTGTACCGGGTCATACATGGAGAAATTGGTCCCTTCAGACTGGTCAGGATGAGTCAAAAGGACATGCAGGCTACAAAGGCACCTGAACCTGCTGCTAAAGAAAAAATACAGGTAAAGAATAGTACGCACCAAATGTGAATCAGTGAAACCTCAGTAAATATTTCAGCATTTGTACTGACGGAATTGTGCTTTGCGATTGTTTCTGATTATAAAGTTTAAAGACGAAGCTTCTAAATTGACACATCTGAAGAAACCTGAAGCAGTGAAGGTTGACTTGCCAAACCTGAAACCTGTTAGACCTGACAAAAAACCAGAGATCACGGTTTGTACCAATAATATTGTATGAAATTGATGTCATTGCAAATCTTTTATGGTCACTGTATTTTCACTAATGACTTACGACTCATTGATGTTGAGTTATTTATAAATGTTGGGTCTTAAAGGTTCTTCTTGGTTTTGGTACAATTTATTTCCAGGAACAGAAAAGGGGTGTCTCTGCTCCACCTTTGAAGCTCAGAGCTAACCAATCGAGCCAGGGCAGCGCGGGACCAGATATTCTTTCTTGCATGCTTAAGGACACAACATCAGAACACAAAGCTCACCTGTTTGACCTGAAATGCAAGATATGCACAGGTAAATTAACAAAGCATTATTTGACAAAGCAATATTAGACCTTCATTTAATCTGAGCCACACTTTGTTGCTGTTGGTGTCATTTGATTTACCCAGTTTGGCGATTGAGAGTACAAGACACAAAATCACAAGGCCAAAAAAATCTGTTATGGAAAGACATAAAAAATAATAATGAGAAAATCACAAACTTAGTTACATTGAATAAAATATCTACATAGATGGAGAGAAGACATTAAAGAGTACTGGGAATACCAAGATAAACCCTTAGAATTGTTAAACATCTTTAGCGATATTTTACAAATCTCTCTGTACGTCTGTTAGATCTCAGCGATGTCTTTGTTAAGGTCAGTCACATTTGTTTCTAAAGATTTGTGCCACTAAGTCCGTCAGGAAAGATAGATTGATCAATTTAAAAGTGTAAGAGGACAAACCTTTAACATTCTGGTTGGGATGGTATCTAAACACATGTTGATGGTTTAAGTAAAACTATTGGTTGTATTTTCTCCTAGAAATCTTTTAATTTGTGGTTCTTTCATGTTACTCTAACCGTTTCTTATTTGTTCAAAAAGGCCAAATTCCTGCTGGAGAAGTTGAAGAACCTGCTAAGAAAAAACTCAAGCTATCTGTGTCACAAGATAAGAGTGAATCATTTTGGAAGAAGTCTGCAAGAGATGACTCCCCTCTGAAGGCACCACCTGACTCTCCTCTAATGGATTCTCCACCATCTTCACAAACGGAGTCTTCCTTCCACATCATGGACTCTCCAAAACTGACGATTGTAGAGTCGCCTGCTTCCCCGATACTGGAATCTCCAGCCTCTCCTACACTGGAGTCTCCTGCTTCCCCTGTTATAGAGTCGCCTGTTTCTCCAACTCCAGAAACGCCCACAGCAGTGACACCAATAAAAGCATACACACCTGTTGTGATACCAACTGTCTCCATGGTAACCATCACAAGACGTGACCCCCGAACTGCATCGAGCAGGTTCACTGCTTCATCTGGTGGCAACTCTATTTCCAATACAACAAGTACTAACCAAGCAGCCTCTTATGCTCCCATAAAAGATACTTCTACCTCCCAACCAGCAGCCCCACCGAAACCATTACCTAAGTCTATCCTGATGAAACCGTCTTCCTCTGTTGACCCTAGACTTTATGGCTCATCCTCAAGGTACCTGAAGAGGCTTGGAAGTACACTAAAGCCTCTGAATTTTACTTTTCTACAAAGGAAAATATTTGTGAAATTAGTTAAATGGGTGAACATGATTTTTATTATGCTGTTCTCGTTTGTGTTTTAGGATGATGGTCTCTCACTCCCCAGCAGATGGCGGTACTGCACAGTTTCTAACCAAACAGGAAATACTTTGGAAAGGCTTTCTAAACATGCTCACTGTTGCTAAGTTTATGACAAAAGGATATCTAGTTTCAGGATCTACAGAAAGTCTTAAAACGGTATAGTGATGCATGATATTTTAAATTACTTGAGCTATATGAAAAATGTCACTGCCATAAAACTGCTTATGAAAAATTGTGTTTTTGCACAATGTGCAGGATCTACCTGATACCATAAAAATTGGAGGAAGGATCTTGCCTGAAACCGTGTGGGACTATGTTGAAAAACTAAAGTCCTCCGTTACAAAGGCAAGCAGGATTTGAACTTTGAGCAGCAATATTGTAAATGTAATTTACATTATGTGATCTAATTTTACATGCTCTTTTGTTAACTTTCTGTATTTTTTAGGAGTTGTGTGTGATTCGGTTTCATCCTGCGACGGATGAGGAAGAAGTGGCCTATGTCTCCCTATTTTCCTATTTTAATAGCAGAAGGCGTTTTGGTGTGGTTTCCAACGTCAGCCGTTCCATCAAAGATGTATACCTTGTTCCGCTGAGTGCAAATGAATCTATCCCATCTATACTACAACCTCTTGATGGACCAGGTATGACTACTTTGACTCTTCTGTCTTTTACTTGCGTTAACTCTGGGTTAAAATGAACTATATTGTCATTATGTTTTCAGTTATATAATTGTTTCCAATTAATTTTACAATTTTATCAAGAATTATCGCAACAAACAGCAAATTGTCATCATGTCCCTTACATTCACAATGTCAGCTGCTCTTCCACTTTTTCTTTAGGTAATCAGTCAGAAATGCAGTCAAGTCAACTATATATATATATATATATATATATATATATATATATATATATATCAGTTTAGTGTCTTAATTTAAAAAAGCCCACATTCTTTGTCAAATAGTTTAAATTTGATTGACAATATAAACATTTTACAAGTGGTTTTGGTATTTTGCTGCTGGCAGAGTTGCTCATTTTAAGCCAACATGTTTACTACTATATTCTGTAGTGTTAAACTACAACTTTAGGCGGGGGAGTGGTGGTGCAGAGTATAGGGAAGTGAACCTGTGATTAGAAGGCTGCTGGTTCAAACCATAACATCAAAATGTGGGGGGAATAAGGTGAGGCACCCATGTCTGCCTCCATCCTCATTTGCCCCACTCTGGGCCCGTGAACAAGGCCCTTAATCCCCTCCCCCCCATCTGTTTCCTGCGGGCGCCCTAGATGGCAGTCCTCTTCTTCACACAGAGGGCTGTGGTAGCTTGGTGGTCTGTGGTTGCATCATTGAAACAATTGCCAAATTCTCGTGAGTTTGCTCGTTGTGGCGACCTCTGAAAAAGGGAACAGCCAAAAGAAAAAAAACAAACTGTACCTTAAGAAACTGATTAGATAGGTCACTTTTAATATATATATATGTGTGT